GATCGAAAATACAGCACACATACATAAGTGACAAGAATGAAAAGTGACTGAAAGCTGAGCTAAATCACGTGAATCCTCCGGCAGCAAAAAGCGCTACAAAAACCGCGTGGGGGAAAAGCTTCTTGACGTCAGCGGCGCAGCCGCTTTAGCCTTTTCTCCGACTAGTGAAGGTGGTGGTTTTGCCGGCTGCGCGGTGGGCGTAAGAAGAAAGAGAGATGCTATGGCAAAAATGGGAAAGATAATGGAATTAAACCTCTAGGGATTGGCGACGGCGGATCGGGTCTCTACGGTAACTCTTTAAACAGCACACATCTACTATGCAATATAAGCGGTTGGATACGTTAAAATATATCCAACGGTGAAGAACTTTTTTCCCAATAAAATAAGAGAACACTTAAAAAAATGAAATATATTTGTGGGAAATGCTACAGTACCGTTACGGCACCATTCCGTCAGGATTTGTAACCGTTAGATCATCTTGTAACCGTCAGAGATAGTTGATCTAACGGTTACAAACCCCGACGGAATGATTCCGTAACGGGACCTTAGCATTTTCCTATATTTGTACAAAAACAACAAACTAGTTTTTATCTTTCACTTTCAACAGAGTCGATAATTTATTCTATTCTACCATATAAAATGTCCCTGCCAATTTTTTTTATCACCAAGATTACTAAATTAAAAGAAAAAAATCCACTGATAAAACACTCAGAACAACCACAAATACAAAAGAATGTGAAATTACCAAAAACATAAAGAAATTAACCACATTAATTAAACTACACGTGAAAAATATAATAGAAAATAAATTGAAAACAAATACAAAACCAAATAACCATGTTTTTGTCCAAGAAAAAATAAAATTAATAATTCACGAAAATATTTGACCGCTAGGACGGCTACTGATGCATTTTTTTTCTTGCAGCGGAGTGGAGCAATTGAATTTAGAGATGAAATAAATATAGTCAGATAGATTTTTTTATTCATTGCTAAGTTTGTTTGGCGGATTTAATTTTGAGACGGTGTTCTTACTTTTTTCACATGTAAATTTTGTTTTAGCCCAAATTTGTGGCCACTGGATCTTTTAATATCCAACAGTATATATTGCACAACAGTATCTGTTGTTTAAGTAAGCACCGCAAAGCCCCCAGATCCAAGCATGTCGGCAGATTAGGAAAGATGAATTAGGGTTTTCTTCTAGGTGTCACATGGTGAAAACTTGCCATGGTAGTAAACCAAAAATTAATTAAAATTAAAATAAAAAATACATTTTCAAAAATTAATTAAAATTAAAAAAAAAAACACATTTTTTTAAAAACACATGTTCTGAAAGCGAAAGAACGTTCGCCTAGGGAAAATAGAACTAACACCGGATCAGAAGGGGGGCGTGGTCGGATCCAATTCGAGGGAGGTGTGTTACAACCATGGTAGAAACACCCTCGTCCGTGCCTCTGAGTATAGAGCGCGGTCGAGCCTCTCCTTGACTCCGGCCCTCTCCCACGTAAAGGGAGCCCCTTCGTATCCAACGTCGATTAGCTCACAATCCGATACAGCGTGCGATAAATCTAAGATCTCCGCTGAGCAATCCGATACTCCACCATGCGTTCATCGGGATGCAAAAATATATTGAAATCACCGCGAACTATCCACGGTAATCCCTCCATACTCTCAGCAATCTCACGCAAGGTGTCCCAGAGGTCATATTAACCAACCCTCGCACAGCTGGCATAAACCAAGGTGCGGAAGATTGGCTCTGGAAGATGAGCGGCGTTGAGCTTCACGTGCAAAACCTGATCAGTATCACGAATGATCTAGCAAGTAAAGTCACGTGAGTGGAAAAACCAAATCTTATTCAAGATGTTGACCACTCCGGCATGAAAGCCAAGGCGGCGCGAATAATCGTCAAAAGAGGGGTCACGAGTCATAGGCACTAAGAAAGCCGCAAAATCAAGGTTATGCTCACGAATGAGAGATAGAACGTGAGCAAGGGTGGTCCTATTAGCCAAACCACGGGCATTCCATGTTAGTGATGTGACTGACATGTCAAACGTCAGTGGATCCACCTAAGTGGAGCTATCCATGGTTAGGATGTGTCTGTATGTCTGGTAGGGACAGAGCTCGGCTAGCAGCGAGTTGCGCAGTCCTCGATCTGGTATGTGGTCTTCTGTGATCTGGGCTCTCCTGTGCAGGGCCCTCTCACATAGGATGAGTTTCCGAAGGTATGAGTACGAGCTGTAAGAGCTCCAAGCCATCCATTCTCTGTGCCTGGTCCTTTGGGGAAAGCGGACCAACCTCGATAGTGGGAGATGTGGGGGAAGTGGAAGGTAAGGTCTGAAGGGGTCGAGCTGGTGGGAGTAGAAGGGGCTCAGGCTCATACAAAGGGTAGGGGGAGGGCTATAAGGTCTGAATGGGAACTGAGGGGAAGGAGGAGCCTCAATATACAATAGGCTGGAAGAGGACTCTATCTCATCGACTAAAAGGTCGTCGTCATCAAAGGGGGAGCTGGTCGAAGCTCCTGAGTGATCAGAAGAAGTGTGAATCTCCTCCTCCGTCTCTGTGTCAAGCACAGAGAAGCGAGAGTGAGTAGCCATAGGGGCAGTCTGGAGGGACTGATGGGGGAATAGGCCTGTAGCTTTGGCCTTAGGCCCATTCAGGATAGCCTCATTGGGCTAGGTGCCTTTAGAGGTGACCTTTCCCTTGCCCTTTTGTCCCTTTGGATTGGAACCGTGGACAGGGGCCTTGCCCTTCTCCTTAGGGCTCCCCAGAGCGGCAGTAGGGCTCTGCCTCGCTACGCGACGGCGGGGCAAAGCAGGTCGGGGCTTGTTGCCCTGGTGTAACATTCTGCAGCTCCATGTCCTACATGACTGCATAGGGTGCAGAACGGGTGGACTCTCTCGTAGACCACTTTCTGGATAGTGGTCTTGCCCGCTTGGTCGAGCTCAATCTCCTTGATGAGCTCGTCCCTGAGGTCAATCTCCACGCACACCCGTTCGACGGATAATCTCGAGCGGTTTGTTGTAGTAGTATCAATCTTAATGCGGTTGCCAATGCAGCTGGCAATCGAGAAGAGGGCAGAAGGGTCGAAACGATGTGGTAGAAGGCCTGGAAGGCAACACCACACTGGGACGATGGGAGATTCCTCAACAAAAGAGAAATTCGGGGTCTATTTGAACATCCGACCAGGGCATCCAAAGATATTGAGATGCGTCTTAATCCAAACAGAATTGTAGT